AATCAGAGCCCAGCTGGAGTCCTGGCAGGAAGGTCTGAGCTTGCAGCTTCAGTGGGTTGTGGAGCTGGGGCGCTCCCCTCCCTGGGGCTGTGGAGGGGGGATGGTCCTCCAGGTGGGGTGCCAGGGGACGTGGGGTTCAGGGGTGAGGCCTTGACAGCAGTAAGATCTAAGTGCATCTGCCCAAGACTAAACATCAGGTGCCCCTGGGGCAAGACTGGGCGGAGTGTGTGGGGACTGTGACCATCCTGGTACAAGCCTGGGTCTGGGGAGGTGCTGGGGGGCCTGGGGCCCGGGTTCCCCAAAGGGAGGCCAGGCTTTGCATTTTGGAGAAAGGCAGCCTGTTTCATTTTGAAGATGCCAACGAGAGCACGGATACGGATGCGTCCTTGATTTATCCAGAGTCCTGTCCTCTCAGAAACAGCCCTTGGGCCATGAATTATTCCCGGAAACATCCTTCTCCCTGGAGCAGAATGTCCAGCTGAGGGAGCTGCTCTGGTCCGCAGAAAGGGGGCGTCAGCCCTGGGATGGAGGCTGGGTGCCCTGAGCTCCAGCTGCAGCTGTGGAGTTGGGTGGACGGGCCTCCAGCCACCGCCCAAGGCCTTCCCTCCGGTGGAGGTGGGTGCTGGCCCCCCAGGAGGCCAGTCATCCATGGGGCAGTCAGGTCTCTGCGGTTGGGGTTAGAGGGTTCATTTGGAGGTGGGGCCACCTGGGCCGGCCCACCAGCCACCAGGCAATCGAGGGAGCTCTGCAGCCAGTGGCCTCCTTCCCGCCGGGTGGACAGGAGCAGGAAGCAGCCAGATCCGGTCCTGCTCTGAGCATTAGGAAGAGAAGCCGCTCTGACTGGTGGGAGAGAAGGAGAAAAGGGGTGTGGGCTGCCAGGTCTTGAGGGGCCCGGTGAGCTCTGCCCAGACCCAGCCTCCTCTGCAGGCCTCCACCTCCGCTGGCCTCCACCTCCACTGGCCTCCACCTCCACAGGCCTGCACCTGGCTCAGCCGGCTGCCCCGCCCATTGAGACAGCAGCACCTCCCCTAGGGGGCCCAGCCCCGCAGGCCCCTGCCCACCCAACTGGGCCACCAAGATGGGACAGGGCTTCACAAATCGAAAAACCACCTGAGGGCCTCAACTCAGTGGTGAAAAGGAACTACTGATACACAAAAACCACACGATGGATGGAAAGGGAGCTCTGCTGAGTGAGAAAGCCAATCTCAAAAGGTTGCCTACTCTACAGCTCCATTGACATAGCATTCCCGAAATGGCAAAATTACAGAGGGAGAACCGATGAGGCTGAGGGGGGGAGGTGGGGGCAGTGATGAGGGTGGCTATGAAACAGGGGTCCTGGAGGTGTCAGCTGTTCTGTGTCTTGACTGGGGTCGTGGTTACACAAACCCACACATGAGGGGAATGTGCAGGATCGGTTGCAAATGAGCGCATGTGGACGTGGTGACAGAGCAGTAAGATGGGCGGACTGGCCCTGGCCGGGTGACTCAGTTGGCTGGAGCATCATCCCACACACCAAAAGGTTGCGGGTTCGAGTCTCAGTCAGGGCACATACCTAGGTTGCAAGTTCGATGCCCGGTTGGAGCGTGTGCAGGAGGCAACCGATCCATGTTTCTCTCTCACATCGATATTTCTCTCCCTCTCTTTTCCTCTCTCTCTCTAAAAAATCAATAAAAACATTTTTTAAAAAGTTGAACAAAAATCCCCTCTCCAAAACAAAAGGGAAAGCAGACCCCTTGGGAGGCACTGGAGAGAGGGGGCAGATCCGAGGGGGGGGTGCCAACATTGGGAGAGTTCAGTGTATAAACAACAGCTACAGCCTGGAGGATGGGTGAGGATGAAAAACGGAGACACACAGCTTCAAGGGTGATATATTTTTGGCAAAGTGGTACAATAGTCGCCCCAAGTATAATGAAAAGCTTAAGGATGTATATGGTAATCCCCACCCGGCCCAAGAGCTACCACTAACAAAAATAAGGATAAAAGGACACTCGCTAAATTAAAATGGAATTCTAAAGAAATACACAATTAATCCAAAAGAGAGCGTGAAGGGAGGGACAGATGGGACAAAACAAAAATATTCCAGCAGTAGCTCTAAACCCAGCCTTGTCAATCATTATATGAAAGGCACGTAGAATGACGCACCCGGAAGCTCTGGGACTTCGGTGGGTGCTGACGGAAAAGCATTCTTGCGGGCTTTGCTGAGTGGGGTCAGGAGCAGCCTTTGCCACTAGTGTGGGGCGGCTAAGTCTCTCTTGGAGGAAGTCAGGGCTCAGAAGACAGAGCCCGAGGCCTGATGGTGCACCAGCCCCAGCACCTGACACATCGCTGAGCTATTGAGTTTGCTGTAACCCACCCCCAAAAGATAGCCTCCTCCAGGAAGTCTGCTCAGAAGCCCCCTCCCAGCCTCACCCCACAGCGCTCTCTGGTCTGACCACTTCCCCTGGGGTGACAAAGGCTCCCTCCCTGACCAAACTCCACGCTGGCTCCTCTGGGCTCTTTTCCAACTAGGTCTCTGGTTTTGGACTGCTGTGTTCATCCCGGTTCTGTCCAATGGCAAGAATCGACTAAGTGGGTTTAGCCCGAATCCCCACCGTCCATATCTGATCACCCTCACACGTGTCAGGTGCTTCTCCCGCCCCCATCCACACCCCAGGGGACAATGTCTGATAACCCAGCCTGCCCTCAGCAAGAATCCTGTTGGGTTGGTTTAGCCAGATTCCCTCTTACCCCTGATGTTTTCTCTTAGTAATTTTCCATCAGCTCACCCACCGCCCTGCTCCCTGGCTATAAATCCCCACTTCTTGTATTCGGAGTCGGGTCCACTCTCTCTCCCCACCGCAAGACTCCCTCTACCTATCTCGATACCCCCCCTCCCCACCGCCTTAAATAGAGCCTTCCTGTCATGGATATTTTTTTCTTTTATTTTTTAAAATGTTTTTTATTTATTAGAGAGAGAGAGAGAGAGAGAGAGAGAGAGAGAGACATCAATGATCCGCTGTCTCCTGCATGACCCCACTGGGGATGGAGCAGCAACCCGGGCATGTGCCCTGACCCCTGACTGGGAATGGAACCGGTGACCTCCCACTCCATCCACTGAGACACACCAGCTGGGCATGAATATTTTCTTGAACAGGGTCCCAAGCCCAGTGGGTCTCAGGGACAGGTCTGTCCTGGTCTAGTCCTCCCTGGGGAGGGCTCACTCAGCCTCACCCTGCACAGACAGGCTGGTCTCTGTGTGCTGGATGAACATGGGTGGGGGAGACAGGATCCCCCACTTGTCCTGGAAACCCCAGAAGGCTGACCCCTCCATTGTCACTCCCATCTCTACCTGGATCCAGGGCTAGTGGAGGAGGTGGGGGCAGACGCAGCGCTCACCTGTCCTCCGCCTCCCCCTCCAAGTCCAGGGCCTCCTGGCTGGCTGACAGGGGCCCAGAGTCCAGGGGGACCGGGCCATAGTTGTAGTTATAAGCAGAGGCTGGCATCGGCTGCTCTGGAAAGAGGGGGGACTCAGTAGGTAAAGGGTGCTGGATGGAGGGGGACTGAATGGCAGACAGCCCAGCGGGACAGGAGAGGAGATGCATGGCCCAGAGCAAGACAGGAGGTGAGAGGTCATGAGAAAGGGGAAGGGACACAGGTCAGAGGTGGGGAGATGCAGGAAGGGGCGGGGGAGGAGGAGACTTAGCAAGACTGGGAAGGAGATGGGAGGCCCGGAGGCCAAGGAACGGAGGTGGGGGAGGACAGGAAGCCAAAGGGACAGAGAGATGCGGGGGAGGGGGAGATGGGGCCACAAATAAGGGGGAAAGTTGAAGGGAAGGGGGAAAGACAGAGGGAGCCTGGTTCTGCAGGGGGAGGAGAGACACAGATCCATGCGGTGGGGGAGGGCGGGATGTGAGGGATAAAGTAGGAAGCTGGGAAATGGAGAGGGGAAATAGGTAAGTGGGAGGAGGGGACTCAGATGTGTGTGTGTGTGGGGGGGAGGGGGCTCAGACAAACAGGAACAAGGGAAAGAGAGGTCCTCGCCAAGGGAGTGGTAGCAGGGGCTGCTCAGCCAGGCAGTGACCAGAGGGGAAAAGGAGGGGAGGGGAGGGGAGTGATGCAGGACACGGTGGACAGGTGATGGAGAGAAGGGGCAGGTGCTGGAGAGGAGGGGGAGGTGTTGGGGAG